AAACTGAGTTTTTTCTTATAGTTCTCCTGTACGTGTGTTTGTCAATGAATTTCTAAATATCTTAATATATATAAATTACGTGTCACGTTGTTTGTCCGCGATCGACTTCTAAACTACCTACTTACCGATTTTAATCAAATTTGCACACCGAGTGCAGTTTGGTCCAAATTGAGAGGATAGTTTTTTGCCTAAGTGTGTCCCACAATTTTTTTTTTGCTAATTTAAGGATTTTTAATAGCACATGACAAAGGGTCGTCGAAAAGGGCAGAAACATGTCTGCCTTTTGCCTTTATATATATATATATATATATATATATATATATATATATAATTCTTCTGTACGTGTGTTTGTCAATGAATTCCTAAATATCTGGACATGATAAGATTTTGATATAATTTTTGGTGTTTTTATTTGAGTGCGTCCCTGGATAGTTCAGATTCACAATCGGAAACGGTGAGTGGCGCTATTGTCGAGATAAAGAAATCGTGCGAAGCCGGGCCGTATCGCTCGTACCTGCGATATATTTTTTTATAGGATAGGGTGGCAAACGAGCACACAGTCCACCTGATGGTTAGTGGTTGCTGCGGTCCATAGACATCCATATCTATCCTAGATTACAAATCAAAATGCAGATGCGTTGTGTTCTTTCCAGTAAAAAGGTATCCGGTTCTCTACACTCACCTTACGAAACACAGCAGTATTGAGCGGCTATATTACGCTGGTATTCTGTGAGTGCGTGGTCCTTCCCCGGTCGAGCCGACCCTTTCGTGGTAAAACCATAATATAGCGGCAGCATGGCTCTACCACGTCTAGTAAATACAAAATCCTGCAAACGAATACAGAATCGTTTCCATCGGCTCTTTATTTCTTTTTATTACCCGACTACGGTCGCCTTTATTAGACCGTAAAAGTGAATTGCTTGGGAATTGTCTATTATAGTCCTAAAAAAACGGTTGGCCAAGTACATTTCTGTATTTCTTTAGTTATACGGTGTATAAAAATTCCACTGCTGAACATAGATTGCCTTATAGTGGTATATTTGGCATAGTTGCCAAGCTTGGCAAGCGTTTAGGCAACCGCAGGTTTTTTTCAGTTGTTATTAGGAAGACCCTGTTGCCCATCTTCTGGTTTGTAACCATCGCCTCTTACTACACCCAGAGGACGATATGGAGTAGTGCTTAGAATATCCCCTGCCACTGGTAAGTACATATTTAGGTCTAAATAATGGATTAGTACTTCTTAATTGGGACGGAGCGTAACGTAGCCCTCCCTTATCCCTGGGTTCGATATATTTTTTATTGGTATCTCACTTGAAGCAACCCGATTCAATCTTTGTCCGATTTCGATTTAACTAAGAGCATAATATAATTTTTGTAGTATGAATAGTGTATGAATTCATTTTGTCTCTGAATATTATTTTTTTACATTGTATACGCCTTATGTATAAAAATACGTGGTAGAGCCACGCTGCAGCTATATTATGGTTGTAGCACGAATGGGTCGGCTCGACCGGGGAAGGACCACGCTCTCACAGAATACCAGCGTAAAATAGCAGCTTAATGCTGCTGTGTTTCGTATGGTGAATGTAGAGAACAGGAGACCCTTTTTACTGGAAACGAGGCATTCCATCTAAGTCCTCAGGGGTAACAAACAACGCATCTGCATATTGATTCTTTCTCGAAAATAAATGTAGATGTCTATGGCCAAGCATCCACTAACTCATCAGGTGGACTGTGAGCTCGTTTGTCACCTTAATGTATAAAAATTGATCTACGTTGATGCCAGACTTCAAGTTTCTGAGACAGGTAGTAGTAGCTTAGGTTTTCAATTAATCCGTAAGTAAATAATGCCTCTTCGAACTCAAGAACTATAATAGGATTGTTCATATAATTGGATTGGATGGCACATCTAGGCAAATAAGAGGTCCGTATTAGATTTGCAAAATAACAAGTGTGTAGGTGTAATAGTTTTCGATGTTGGCTCGAAATTATTCGTGTAAATGTCTTATCGGTACTTCGTCCTTTGCTTTTTCAAACTTGGCTGATTCCCTATCGTGTGGTCTAGTTAAATATACGTTAACCCTAAAAATAATGTTTGATTTATATTACAAATAAATTTTATTATTATAAATATCTCCATCCCACTTTTGTTCCCAACATGGACGTAACTATATAGTCGCTATTATTTACTTCTACACAAGTTTAAATCCTACCCTAAAATTTTGTTTGATTAGGGATACTTACTTTACTTTTCCAATACGAGCGTTTTGAGTAGGAAAATCCACTTTTAATAATATATCGTCTATTTTTGTTCTAAAAGAAATCTCTATTTATATAAAGTACCCGGATGACCGAGTTTTTCTCGGTTTTTTTTAAATTACATTAAAATACAAATTACATACTGATGAACAATATTTTTTAATCTTATTGACATAGTAGAAAAAAATGAACTGATTATTTGAATAAAAAATAATGAGTGCAATTAGTTTAATTAAAATTTTTGTATTTTAAAAAAATATTAAAAAAAGGGCTCGAAATAATAGATTTTCTCACAAAAGAAGGGAACCGAAGGGAGAACGCGAACCAAGGCATTAGGATTTCGCGACCGCTCGATATCCACTTGAGCTATTACGATCATTACTGTGAAAGTGTCAAAATTTACCTTCTTATATTGTATCAGTTTTTCATTGCCTGAAAACACGGACAAAAAGACATTTTCTAAAAATAAATCCTAGCTAGATCGATTTATTGCCCCCGAAACTCCCTGCAAAATTTTATGGAAATCGGAGCCGATTCCGAAATTCCGATTATATATATATATATATATATATATATATATATATATATATATATATAAAGGTATAGGATTAATGACCTTTAGTTTCGTTTAATCTCGAAAATGACTTGAACAGTTTTGATGAACTTTTTTGTGTAGGTTTGAGTCTCTGGATGGTTTAGATTCACAATTGGACTCGGTCGGTGGCGCTGGTGTTGGGATCCAGATATCACCCGTGCGAAGCCGGGGCGGATTGCTAATATATAAACAATAATAATCATATATTATAGGCTTCCTATTTATTGTTTGGGTCCCAGAACCAAAACTGTTTTTGTCTATGTGTAATTTATAAATGCAAACTGCCTCCACGACACAGGAAAAAATTCACAATTGGAGAGGGGGGAGGAGGTAATATTTAAAAATGGAATTTAAGTTAAGACAACATTTCGATTATCTTACACCTGTAAAATATACAGTCCGCCAGGACTGTATATTTCACTGGTAGGTACACGTTACAAAATCAGGAGATAAAAATGAATAGCATCATAGACTAGTATAGTATATCTATAGCTGAAACTTCGTCTTAGTAATCCGTTACAGCCTATTAAAGTCCACTGCTGAACGTAGGCCTCTCATAAGGGGGATATTTGCCATAGTTGCCACGCCTGGCAAGCGGGTTGGCAACCGCAGTTTTTTACTTTTAGTCGTTATTAGGAAGACGCTGCTGCCCACTTCTTGAGTTTCCCTCTGTCGCGTCTTACGACGCCCACGGGATGATATGGTGTAGTGGATATTCTTACACGGTCACTACACGGTGTTTTTTATAGGATGAGGTGACAAACGAGCACACAGCCCACCTGATGGTAAGTGGTTGCTTCGGTCCATAGACATCTACATCTACCCTCGATTACGAATCAAAATGCAGATGCGTTGTTACCCGTGAGGACTAAGATGGAATACCTCGTGTTCAGTAAAAAGGGTCTCCGGTTCTCTACACTCACCATACGAAACATAGCAGCACCAAGCCACTATTTCACGCCGGCATTCTGTGAGAGCGTGGTCCTTCCACGGTCGAACCGACCCATTCGTGCTACTATACAATTAATATAGCCGTAGCATGGCTCTACCACTTAATCTCCTTTTTATTATGATCGTGTGAAATGTTTAGTAAACACAAACAAATGCCTGGCGCATTTCAATGCTATAACGGTAGTGGTGTAGTGTGATCGCTGACCGTGGAAGCACTCCAGTTCAAGGGAGATGCTTCGGAGCGGCAGGCAAATGGAATGCGGAACGTTGACTACGTTTAAAAAGTTACACTTTTTAAATGTAGTCAACTAAATAAAAACGCAAATCGTTAATAAACCTTTAGACGATCAGCAGCACGGTTTGGGTTTAAACTTTTGTGATACTGAGTCATACGTTATATTGGAATATATATTTTTTTGTATATAGGTTAGGGTGACTAATGAGCACACAGTCCACCTGATGGTAAGTGGTTGCTTCGGTCCATAGACATGTACATCTGTACTCGATTACGAATCAAAATACAGATGCGTTGTCACCCGTGAGGACTAGGATGGAATGCTTCGTTCTCAGTAATAAGGGTCTCGGGTTCTCTACACTCACCGTACGAAACACAGCAGCATAACGCTACTATTTTACGTTGGTATTCTTGTGAGAGCGTGGTCCTTCCCCGGTCGAGCCGATCCATTTGTGCTACAACTATACTAATAAACCAATAATATAATAAAATGTTTAAAACTACTTTTACGGATTTTATCGCGTTTAATTTTAATTGATTTTTGATTCCCGACGTTTCGGGTGCTTTCCAGCACCCATGGTCACGGGCTCACGGGGGACTGAGGTGACTGACTTCCCGATGTCAATGTTAACCCGGAGTACCTTCAGCTTTTTAATTATTGTTTATGGTCCGATCTATGAGAATGAACTTACTCTGTCTTGGTCTTGCAGTGGTATGCTTGGGTTTAGTTTTAATTTTATTAATTACAGAGTCCCAAGTGGGTGGTAGTACCCAGCCGCGTTCTCTATTGAAATTAGGATGTTTTTTAATTTCAATAGCCTCACGTATCAACCTTGGTAGGAATCGATGTTCTTTCGCAAGGATTTGTGGTCTATCAATTAGTCTATTTGAACTATGATAAATACTTATGTTTGAAAATTTCTTAAACGACGGCTAATAATTTCGTTTGTTTGTTTTCAGCGAGCAATCCATAAGCAGTGCCCGCGCGTCCGTGATGGTGTACGACGACCACGCCAAGAGATGGATACCTTCTGGCTCCAGCTCTGGCCTGTCTAAGGTCCACATCTACCATCACACACAGCACAACACCTTCCGGGTGGTTGGGAGGAAGCTCAATGACCATGAGGTAAGCGATCAAGACACGTATAATGACTGATTCCTTCTGAATAACTGATTGAAGGCCAGATTAGAGTTCCTCACTTTTTTTTCTTCTTTTTCTACCCTCATTCCTTTTGTGTAATATATTATATTTTATTCAATATTATTCAGACGTATTCATCTCGTATCGAAAACCCGTTTCCTGAGTTACAACTTGCCCAGTTTGTCTACTTGTCTGGTGTTGGTATTCCACAAATTTCTCAGTGGATATCCTTGGGACACATTTTACTTGATTTGGCTTTAAGCTTTCGATTTTGTCATTTAGATATATTAAGTGTTAGTTCGAGTTTTACTAAATAGACTATTAATTTCAACACTATAAAGCCTGTAAAAAATTATACGAAGACTAGATAATAATAAAACTTAGACTGAGTTTTTCTTTGAAAAAGTTTTACTATAATATTCTGGTAGTTTCGGATAAAATTCTGGCAGGCTTCTGAATAAATTTAATGATTAAACTGTACAAAACTAAACCACAATAAAAAATATTGATGGATAATTAGATTTAGAAAATCATCTTAAAATGTTAATCTTATTCGTTGTATTTATAACTACCAATTATACTCTACAGTTTTTAATTCCGTTAAATTTTGTGTCTTTAAGGGGAAAAAGCGCCTGTCCCTACTAGCACCCTACCTATGCCATTTGAAATTTCATAAAATTTTATCTAATAGCCATTGGTTAAAATTAAAGTTTGATAAAGTGATAACGAATATTTAATGAAAGTTTTGGCAATATATTACTCTAAATGTTACTGTAGGTACATTTTGGGCCCCAATACTAAACTACTCTCAAAAATTAACATTACACTCAACTTCTTGTAACCTTTGAATCGATACGAATGGGTCGGGTTGACCGACAGAGAACAACGCTCTCACAGATTACCAGTAGTGTAAAAGAGCAGCCTAATACTGCTATAATTTGTATTAGGATCTGATACCAGAGACTCTTTACTGGAAACAAGGCTTTCATCTCAGTGTTCGATGACATCTACATTTTAATACTTAATTGAGTATAGCCACAGCATCCACTTAACATCAGATGGACTGTGTGCCCATTTGTCACCCTTATTCTTTAAAAATTATAACACAAACCTAAGGGGATGTAATATGCAGATATGTAAGTTACATGGGAGTTAAATTTACAAACAAAGTATATATCAAACATTAATAATTATAATAATAATTACATCACCATTTATAGCTTCTTAGACCTCAGTACTCACCGCTTATAGCGGCATCATTGCGGTGTTTTACAGTTATGTGCCTTGCTTTGCGGTTACGTCGTTTTGTGCGGTATGCTATGCATAATAGTTTTACCGGAATCCATTTGCCAAAAGAATTATAATTTTAATAAAAAGTTAAAGTCGACTTCAAAGTATGTACTTAATGGGATAAAATAATTTCCACATAAACATAGTCAGAATTTGGTGCTAAGACATAGCGTGTAGAAGTATTACAGCCTTGACTTCTGAAGCTATTATGTGGAAAATATTTTATTTAGACTTGCAATGAATAGTATATCCGGCCACATGCCGATTACCGAATATTATGCGGGCTTCCTGGCAGAATAGCCGAATATTAAGCAACGGTATTTGGCCAGGAAGGAAGTAGTGTTGCGAATTGCGAACTGCGATTGTTTACGTGAAGAAAAGGAGTAAATAAACTACTGCATGAAAATGCAGAAAAATTAGTCTTTCTGCATTATAATAGTCCACTTCTAAATTTGAGTTACGATAATTCTAGTGCATAGACATTTATTTTATAGTTTTTTTTTGTTAATTTTATAATATGGAAGTTTATTATGTTTTTTTTATAAAATAAGGGTGACACACGAGCACACAGTCCACCTGATGGTAAGTGGATGCTGTGGCCCATAGAAATCTATATTTATCCACGATTAAAATTCAAAACGCTCTTGCGTTGTCACCCCTGAGGACTACGATGGAATGACTCGTTTCCAGTAAAAAAACAGTCTCCGAATCTCTACACTCACCATGGGAAACACAGCACCATTAAGCTGATATTTTACGCTGGTATTCTGTGACAGCGTGGTCCTACCACGGTCGAGCCGACCCATCGTGCTGCAACCACAATATAGCTGCAGCGTGGCTCCACCACGTAATAAATATATGTAACACGTAATAAATGTATGTAAAAGTTCTATGTAAACCTTTCCAACGTCATTACGTTCGTACCGTTTTCAGCCATTTAAAGCGAACCCGTTTCCATTACAGGTGGTGATAAACTGCGGTATCGTGCGCGGACTAAAGTACAACCAGGCGACGGCGACCTTCCACCAATGGCGTGACGCGCGTCAGGTGTACGGCCTCAACTTCTCGTGCAGGGAGGACGCTGACAGCTTCGCGAGAGCAATGATGCACACGTTAGAGGTAGGGAAGAGCAATGCGGCGTATATTTGCCTTAAATTTACTCTAGTAATTTTATATAATAATGTGCCAAATAAGCAGCTAGCAGAATCACCGAATTGTGATGTATGTGGCACTCTGGATTTAAAGCATATTCTGTAATGTGTCAGTTTGAAAGAGCGGCGCTGTAGGTATAATGTATAATGTACTGCAATCAAACATCTTTGATGTTGGCTTATTGCAAAATAACTGCCTCGTTGGTGTAGTGGTTGTGAACGCGACGGCTGATCGTGAGGTCCCGGGTCTAAATCAGTTATTGTGTTTTTCCGTTACGAAATTTTCAGTAGCTGCCCGTGTTTTGGAAGGCACCTAAAGCCGTTGGTCCTGAGCCCGATCTCGGTTATGTCGGTTTACCGTCCCATCGGATTACGAGAGTGAGGGAATAGAGAGTGCATCTGTGCTTGCGCATACACCTGGGCACTATAATCCTGTCCGTCGCCGATGGTTAGTCTCCCTTGAGGCTGGTCGCCGTGACCGAAATTCGGTCTGGAGAACATTGTTATGATTATAAGTACACAAAACAATGCCTCAGTGGTATACTTCTTAATTTTTTTGGACATTTTTTAATTCTCTTTATCATTTTTCTACTTTTAGGAATATTTATAGTTTGGTTTATTAGTTTCTAACCGAATCAATAATAAATATGACTAATATGCCAGAAAGAAACGTGAACCTTTACTTTTTCCTATCTATTTAACTTCCACAGCTATGAGAGCTTTCAAATATTTCACCTCGTTTCTAACTAGCACCGCCCTGGTGGAATAAGTAGTGGATGCCCTGATTAACGTGCACGCAGCGCTTCGCGTATCCTTTGTTGGTCTGAGACCGCTACGAAACATATTCCTTAATTGTATCATTTGTTCTCAGATCCTAGCGAACAAGACGAATACGAACAACGTGCCGCCGCCGCCGCAGCCGCCGAATCCGCCGGTGCCGTACAACGGGCACAACAACACGCACTACGACGAAGACATGGGGTACAGGTGGGAACAGTTGGGGTGTAGTACTTCTTTGTGTGGCGACCTCGGACCACCTATAATTAGGGATGATATTCGCGCACATTTTTTCCTAATTGTAGGTGCACTGAGTGCATTCTCTTATAGCTGGTGACTGGTGACTGAACGAAGGTCGATTTCTGGCTGAAGCCTCAGACGAAACCAAAAGCCAATTGATCCGTTATCGCCGCATCCAAGCCGAAGACTTAAAAACGTGTGGAATCTTTTCGCATAAATGGAAGTGTGCACACGTAGTCCCTGTACACAAGAAGGGTTCAATAACGGATATTAAAAAATTATAGAGGCATTTCTATTTTCAACACAGCAGCTTAAATCCTTGAATGAGTAGTGCATAACGTAATTTACTCTACGCATTCACGCTTCATCCCCGAGCAGCGACATGGTTTTTTGCGAAGGCGATCCACAACTACCAACTTGGCAAGTTTTTCTACTTTTGTCCTTGAGAGTATGGGATCAAGGTGGGTAGGTTGATGTGATTTGCACTGATTTTGAAAAAGCTTTCGATCGTGCCGATCACATAATCCTGCTCAACAAGTTACAAACATACTACCTCATGTATGCTGACGATAAGGAGATTTTGCCTATTGATAGAAAAGGACTTGGACTATTTACTGGAATACTACAGAGTAAATAATATAACAGTTATTGCAGACAAGTGCGAATGTACTACTTTTACTTGGAAAACTAAGCCAATTCTACATAAATATCAATTTCCTGGAGTGGAAAAAGGGCCGAAAACTAAATGTCAGGGATTTAGACGTATATGTTGACCATTACGTTATACATATATAGACCCAGATATAGATCAACCTAGTGATAATATGTAACTGTTCTGAAAACTATATTTTGATGATTTAGTTGTAAGATTGATTTGCGTATGTACCGATTTGTCTTATATTTTTCAAATTAAAACCCAGATATAGATCACCTTAGTGATAATATGTAACTGTTCTGAAAACTGTTTTTTTTTCTTAAATTAAAATACTGGTAGAGTCAAGCTGCAGCTATATTATGCTTGTAGAACGAATGTGTCGGCTCTACCAGGCAAGGACCATGCTCTCACAGAATACCATCGTAAAGTAGCAGCTTAGTACTGCTGTGTTTCGTATGGTGAGTGTACCCTTTTTTACTGGAAACGAGGTATTCCATCTTAGTCCTTAGGGGTGACAACGTATCTGCGTTTTGATTCTTAATCGCGGATGAATGTAGTTGTCTATGGGCCACAGCATACACTTACCATCGGGTGGACTGTGTGCTCGTTTGTCACACTTATGCTATAAAAAATGTTATAAATTACCGTAGTGGCAGCGTTAGTATATCCACTATCATATATCATTTCGTGGGTGTCGTAAGAGGGATCAGGAGATAGGCAGTAGCGTCTTCTAATAATGACTTTGTAACTGCGACTGACAGTAGTTGATAGTAAGTGATAGTAAATACTGTGAAGTTGATAATTGATAGTTTATTGATAGAAACAACTAAATCTAATTTAATAACATGTAGATGGTAAATGATACTGCGAGCACGCGTGACCCGTATTGCTGGGCTCAATTAGCGCACTGACTCAAAATGCATTATTGTAGCGTAATAGCGTAAAATGGCGACGCCACAAAAATGTACGTGCTGCAGCCCGTAGAGACTTAAAATGAAAAACCGCGGTTGCCAACTCACTTGCCAAGCGTTGTAACTATGGCAAATATTAGACAACCCATAGATTGTCTAGGAGGCGTATGTTCAGCAGTGGACTTTAATAGGCTGCAACAGTAACGGCGTTATAGAATATATGTTTGTCTGACACCCATAATATTAGTTTTTTTGTTTTTTTATATAGGAAAAGGGTGACAAACGAGCACACAGTCCACCTGATGGTAAGTGGTTGCTGCGGCCTATAGACATCTACATCTATCCTCGTTTGCGAATCAAAATGCATATGCCTTGTCAGCCTTGAGGACTAAGATAGAATGCCTCTTTTCCAGTAAAAAGGGTCTCCGATTCTCTACACTCACCATACGTAACGCAGCAGCATTAAGCTGCTATTTTACGCTGGTATTCTGTGAGAGCGTGGTCCTTCCCCGGTCGAGCCGACCCATTCGTGCTACAACTATACAATTAATATAGGTGCAGCATGGCTCTACCACGTGTAAATTTTAGGATACAACAAATATATCAATGTAAGAAAATTATAGTTAAAGATTAGTTTGATTGTTTTATTTTGTGTTATTTGTACCTCATTAAGAATAGTTTTATTTCAATCCAACAATTTCAGGACGATGACCCGAGAGGATGCGGCAATGCTCCAACAGCCGCAGTACCATGCGCCGCACAACCAGATCCAGCAGCAGCACAACCCGATACCGCAGCAGCACAACCCGATACCGCAGCAGCACAACCCGATACCGCAGCAGCACAACCCGATACCGCAACAGCACAACCCGATACAGCAGATGCAGCATCAGCACATACAGCCGCATCCGCAGTACCACCAGCAACCGAGCCAGTACCACGCCCCTCATCAGCACCATCAGGTATTCAATGATGTCTTAATTTGCATGTCATTACTGCTCGACCTAGTGGTCAGAAAATCTGGCTACTATGCCGCAAGATCTAAATTTCGAGTCCAGTCGAATTTTGTATGTGGTTTTTGGCCTTTTGGCACTGTCTCCGATTTCTTGTTTTATTAGTTCAGTCATCAGAGTTATCAGGAAGATGCTCCTGCTCATCTCATTATTTTTCTCTTTGTCCCTTCTTAACCTGGCCATACACACTAGGTATTGCTGGCGCGAATATTCGCTACCGGGTTAAAATTACCACAGTATTTAAATGAAACCAAATTTAGGAAATAATATTGTTCTATGAAACTATTATAGTTTCGGGTGCTTTATAGCACCCGTGGTCATGGGGAGGACTGAGATGTTTGACGTCCCAATGTCATAGTTAGTCCGGCTACCTTCAGTTTTAAATATTAATTTTGAGCAAAATGAGCTTATAGTATCATGAAGCCTTGCAGCGGTATGCTTGGGTTTGGGTTTAATTTTGTAAATTATAGGATCCCAAGCAGCTGGCAGCACCCATCCATTTTCTGTATTGAAATTTTGATGTTTTTTAATTTCAATAGACTCGCGTATCATCATCCTTGGTAGGAATCGGTGTTCTTTTGCGAGGATTTGTGGTTTATCAAATCTAATGTAATGGTGGGGACGATCTTGAATATATATAATATATCATCATAAATTGAATAATATTGTTATTCAATTTATTATGATGTTATTGTTTTATCAATGTTTTTCTTAATAAATGAAATGGAATTTCAAGTTACAGTGTTTATTTATTAAAAATAAGAGCTTATCATAGAAAAGTAACAAAAATAGAAAGTAAATCTATATACTTCTATTATAATCATCATTAATTATTATATTCATATCATAATTAATATATTTTTTATTCTTCTTGGGAACTATTTGATCATGTATATATCCTACATATATCGATAGATCAATAACAATAGAAGACTTAATTTATTAGAAAAACAACAAAATAATATAAAACATGGACATTGAGGACAGCGAAGGAAACGTGTTGGAAGTAGACGGTTTAGGGGAGGTTTAGTGAACATGATGTGATACTCCCTCAGATTTAGATGAAGGGCCACTATAAGATGAACTGCAGCCAACAAATGTTAGAGATGTGCCACTGAAATACCTTAGACGAGCATAGTTTATTGGTAAAGACAAAAATTCTGAGTGAAATGTTGTAATAGAATATCTCTTGTAGACAATTTTTCGTAAATATAAGATTCCAGACCTCTAGCATGAACGAGCAAGATCTTCCTTCGCCGATCAATCCCAGGAAAATGAAAATCGATATTATGGAACCCGATTAGTGCACATCGCGGTGGCTCACAAGCTTTCCACTTAGTTTTTTGTCTTTACCAATAAACTTCCTCGTCAATGGTATTTCAGAGGCACATATTCATCACCGGTTCGCTGCAGTTCTTCATCTAATAGTGGAACTTTATCTCAATCTGAGGGTGCATCAGCAGATGAATCGTCTGCTTCCGGTGTTGTATCACTTTCATGTTCACCATATTCCTCTAAATCGTCTACTTCTGAATGTTTTCGTCCTCTCTATTTTCTTGTTCAAGCAGTTCTGCTATTACACTTTCATTTAGTTCAAAGTTCATTACAAATAAGTGCAAAACATAAAAAAAACAATTATGAGTAAAGCGTAAAGTATTATAACTAGAACCATCGCTACCGGATATTTTTCACCCCGTATTCACTTCATATGTCCGTCGTCACCAAACGCCCCGTGTAAACTGGCTGTCTCGTTCAGAAAAGTAAGAATACCCTGTGGTATTTTTTACCCAGTAGCGAGTGCTGCTGGATTAAGACACCCACAGGTTGATATGGATATATCTAACCAATATATTATTGATGATAAAATGTTTTGTTTTGTTGCAGTCCGCATCCCAGCTGTCAACTGTGTCGACCGCACCCCCCGCACCCCCGCCGCACGCGCCGCACACGCTGCCGCACGCGCCTCACCCCCCGCCGGGGCATCACCGCACCAGCAGGTAAGTACGGTTGTCGACCCCCTCCCTTCCCCCAGGTCGCCATCGCACTAGCAGGTACGTACATTAATGCATCTCCCTCCCCCTCCCTTTCCCCCAATGTCACCACCGTATCAGCAGGTACGTTCAGTAATATATCCCGCACACTGCAGCGTACACCGAATATTAAAATGCTCATGTAGTAAAACGTTATTAACTTTTTAGTGGCCCTACCTTAATCATTGTCTACTCACTGCCATAGTTATGTTAATAGTATCATGAAAGATGAGTAAGAATCAACTCTTGCGTCATATACATGAAATCACTGGAAAAGCTTCGAGACGTGTTTTAAAACATTTCGTGGACAGTAAAACATTTTAATAATAATAATGTTTATTTCATATAAAGGTCCATACATATTCGTTAGTAATTTACGTATTATAACTATGTTATAAGAATATTTATAAAATAAGGATAAATTAAGTTATATCTATCTTTTGTGCCAGGACGAGAGAAGTCTCACCCACATGCAATAGGATTCAATTCCTCTGAATGGGACAGTCAAGTCTATCTTGATGACAAGAGAATTTGTGCTCTCCTGTTATCCATTAAAGTAAACCATGACAACCATTTTATATTTTAATTTTCTTTATTTCTTTTTTCTTACAGCGCTCCTATGCCTCCTAACATGTCATTAACCGCTGTGAGCGCACCGCCACCCGTCCCGCCGCATCAGAACCTACCTGCCCCAGCAAACGTGAGTTTATTCACTTAACACTTTAAGGCTATTGTGATCGAAGATTTATTTGTGTGTCTATTAGACTGCGTTTGGTTGTATTGTCTATTGCATAATCGATTAGGTTTGTGTTTTCTCCCTACACATTTTCATAGATTAAATATATTTTACAGGGTCCTTTGCAGGGTCCGATCGCCCCGCCGACACCTCCGGCCGCGCCACAACCTCCACCAATGGTAAATTATTTTACTGCTAACAAGCAGTTCTTCTCAACTATTTTTATGATAAAATTATTTTTTTATAAATCATAAAATTACTCCAATTCGCTTAAGAACTCTCTATACATACAAACCAAAGTTAATACAAACCAAGATCAGATCTGATCTAAGATAATGATAACAATAGATTTGGATAACTGATATTATCTTTAATGAAAATAACTAACTCCATTACAAATTGAACAAAAAATAATTTTTCATATAGTTATCTCCACAAAGATTTTAGGACTTAAATTGCTTTTTGTACGAACATTTTTGAACGTACATTTATCCTCGATTTAGAATCAAAATTTAGATGCGTTGTCACCTCTGTGGACTAGGATCGAATGCCTCGTTTTCAGTAAAAAAGGGTCTCCGGATACACTCACCGTACGAAATACAGCAGCTTTAAGCTGCTATTTTACACTGGTGTTCTGTGAGAGCGTGGTTCTTCCCCGGTCGAGCAGACTCATTCGTGCTACAACTATATTATAGCTACAGCGTGGTTCTACCATTAAGTAGGTAGATTGAGATGATGATCGGTATCTACTCAGCGTTGTGAATTAGGAGATACCTATATTCAGCAGCGGACTGCAACAATTTGATAATGATGAAGTTCTGATGGGGTTTTATAGGTAAATAAAAAATATTTTGTTTTTTAAGTTCATTTATTTTATTTTACTTATAATTAATGAATTATTTATAAAAATTTATCTAAGTAGGGGGCAGGTCGGGTAATACCCTCATGGTGAGCATGGCGTAGGTACCAAATAATACTAATAACACTGTTATTCCCATTGTTCTGAAAACCTACAATGCAGTTACAGCAATAACTTCTGATTGTGTCCCACCCAATCATGCTTGTTTTTGTTTTAAACCATCTATTCTCTCTCGGGATACCTCTAGTGCATATATTGCATGAAAGCGGAAATTCTTATATTGTACAACACAATATGCTGGGGTCTTTCTTGTGGTCCTTCTGGTACATGTAAGCTCAAATCTCGAGCATTGTCCTAGCAAACTTCACAAACTTCATTCATGGATGACATCTGTAAGTAATTTATTTCATGAGATGGCCATAGATATAAAAATAGCATTGATGAAATACAAATTAAACACAAAGTTCGATAGACATAAGTTGTGCCCAACATTTTCAAGCATGAAAGAAACACAAACAATATAATGGGTATGACACAGTCAGATTCTTTTTGGCCGCTGGAATGATTCTTGAGACACAATAATTGGTTGCCTTCACCTTACAGAAAACCTTTGTCAAATAGCTATATCGTATATATGTTGTGTGAATAGGTTGTAGAGGAAAAGAGCTCTTTGTTGTTAGTAGAGCCCACGTCATCAGTATCCCAGGGTTAGCAACATTTAAGAGTAATGCCCTTTGCATGCCAAGCGTTAACCGTATACCTTTGGGGGAATATTGCATGGACATCCAAAATTGTTTATATATATTATCGCTCAAAAAAATTTATAGGAGTTCTAGTAAACATTGACTCTAGGGAAAGCTGTGGACCATATTTCATACAACACAAGATTATTAACAGTTACATCTTTATACATGTTAGAATCATCTAAATTAGTAAGAAAATATGTAGATATATTTCAAAAAGCTGGTGATAACAATATAAATAGACATAATTTAAAACTTAGAAAGAGAAATAAATTAATATTGCCTAAAACCACTTTATGTATGTTCTGGACTATATTTCATGGCAGTTAAACTATATAATAAATACATTACCCAAAGATATAACAAAGATAGAAGAAAAGATATAATAGAGAGAAAAATAATATAAATATTAGTATTAGAACTAAAACATTAGAACTAGCTAGCTTTATTTTATGTTGTTATACTATTGCTAACTGTAATTGTAACGTATTACACAAAACCACATGTAAATGCAATAAATAAATAACTAAAGCTAGTTACTCTAAATATAGTATCTCATATATACCTGCTGGTACTCCAACAAACGGGCAGTGTTGTCGAGATTCCATTCTTCATCTGATGTTGTCGTGGATACAATTTGACCACATACAGCACACGTTAAAAGAGAACAATCACCTTTCACATGATCAGGTGAAGGGGGTTGTATATGTTCTACTGGTGGAGCAGTCCTAGTTCTTCTAGCTCTTAGCGAACATGTCACACAAGCTTCATCTTCAGAACGAAGCTAAAACAAAAAATATAAAGTGCATGCATTCAAACATGCATACTAATAGTGGGAAATAATTAATATTATTTTATTTCTTAGTTTAAATTAAATAAAGAAAATTAATAATGGTTATAGTATGTATGTATACCTGTCGTGAGTGGATCCAAGTATAAACTATATTAGCCATTCTTTGTTCTTCTTCATTTGCCCCTTCAATCAAAATCCTGCGTCGACTAATTCTTAGTATAGATCGTCTGCATACAACAGATATATACTTCGATGGCCAACTGCTCTTCTCGGCAAGTTATCAGATAAATGTGAATGAGTAATTAGCTGCCAGCATGGATGACAAATACGGTCAACAGGTGTAATCTTGAAGTAATGAAGTGACTTGGAGTACTGTTCAACATAATATACTTTCCTCTCCTTTTCAGCGGTCATACTTTCAGACTAATACATGTAAAAAATACATGTAAATAACAATTTGTATGTTATATACATACAAATAGCCGTGTTTGTTAGTTTGTAGTAGATTATATACATATTTTAGTCCGGTATAGCTATTTTTCAATAGTAAAACTTATCACAGAGTTTGTCACTAGCCTACCCATATGCAGAATGTTATTCGTAAACTACTTACATCTCCAGGATATGTCCACAGTCAAATAGTATTGACGACATCTTCACTTTCATCGGATAAAAGCCTTCTTATTCGAGACAAGCGAACACTGCAATTTACACAATGCAACGTAAAAACGACCAGTTATTTCACTAAATTGCTCAGATGTGGTTACAAACCACAATCCAACAACAGCAAATAACTGAATTAAAAACATGTAGTGAACGTTGTTCTCTAACCTCTACCTCCATGGAATTGAAATTGAAAGGCAGATTTTCTTTACCTTTCAAATATCAATAAATAATTGCCATATAAATAAAAAAATTGATGACCAAAATCATTCCTATCATTAAATCGTTAAACAATATGATTTTATAACAACATTTAATGCAGTCTTAGATTAATGTGTTTTATATTATTTGTAAACGATATCGGTGATTGTTGCCGTTTTACTAACTTTCTCCTTTACGCCGATGACCTTAAAATTTATCACAGTGTCAAAAGTGTCGAAGATTGTGACAAAATACAACAAGACCTAAATCGCTTGGAAGGCTACTGTATAAAAAATAAACTTCACTTAAGTACATCAAAATGCAAACATATCACTTTCACAAAAAAAATTAACATTATTAAATACACTTATAAACTAAACTGTGTTTCGTTGGAATCGGTATCTTTAATCAGGGATCTAGGATTGTATTTAGACTCTAAACTACACTTTGATGAACACGTAACGCACATAACCAATAAAGCCTTTCAGCTTTATGGTTTTGTTATGCGGAAATGTTCTTCCTTCAAACATCCCACCACATTTTTAACTTTATATAAATCTCTAATAAGATCACAGGTTGAATATGCATCAGTTATATGGAGTCCAATATATAGTTGGAGCGTGTTCAACGAAAATTTTTAAAATCTACAATGTACAAATGCTTTAAAAGTAATTATAATGAATGTTATGAACTTTTGTTAAGAAAATTTAATGTTCTTTCTTTAGAATCGAGAAGGATGCTCTTGGATCAAACTTTGCTTTACAAAATCTGCCATAACGAATTTGATTGTAATGAACTCACCAATCAAATATACATTCGTATACCCAGTCGCTCGAAGCGTATACGTGAGCTACATTCACATCAAATTTTCGCTCCAAAACTAAGTAAAACAAATGCAGGTGCACGTGCACCTCTAAATCATATAATACAGCAACAAATTTAATGACAGATATCTTCGGATTAACTTCTTCTAGATATAAAAAAGCTGTGTATGAGGTTCTATCTGAATTGGATGCAAGTTAATGTAATTGCTTAATTAGGTTAAATTTAATTTTTCACATCTGTGTATTATCTATATATGTGTATGTGCGTGTATGAATATGTTTGTATATGTGTGTGTATGTATATGCGTGCACATGTACATCCATATGTGTAAATTAGCTTGTTTTGCTCTGTATTTATTGGTGAACGGATCGTTTTTAATAGAACATTATATTTTAATTTTTAATTGTTACGTACATAGACCCAGTGGTAATATGTGGATAACGGTGTTGATTGTATGATTATTAAGCTTAAATATAGTATTGTGTTAAATAATAAGATTATATTGTACAATTGTCTGTTATTCCTAATAAAGCTTAGAAAAAAATGTAAGCGTTTAATTATATATATTGTTATTTCTATTACTATATAATTAATTACCATTTCGATATTTCTGTTATATTACATATGGCAACTTCTAATAACATAATTGCGTTTAGTTTATGCTTATATTACGTTTATTTATTAAAATCTTTTTATTGATATTATTAATTAATCCCAAGTTCTAAAAATATAAAACTTACGTAAAAAGTAATGGCTTAGTTTCCGTAATATCTAGTACAAATTCTATAAACAAAACAACGAAAAAAGTATGCAGTACTAAATGTGCCGTTCCCCTTTACTGCACTATTCACTCCCCGGGAAGTACTGACGAAAATGAGCGTAGTTTGCATTGGCATGTGTGTGCGTGAACGCGTGTGCTTACTTATAGGAGCGGAGTTTTTTGGCTTCACCATTAACAAAGACCGCGCTGTATCTACCTTTTTTACTTCATCTGAGAACGTAATAAAGACATTGCAATTTCAAGATGGAGTTCCATAAGGATGAATCTTACGAGTAGGTCCATTTATTTTTCAAAGTTCACTCCTAGACATGGGTGTAACAAAATTTAAATTAAAGAAATATAGAAATATCAGAACGGACGTCAACGAAACTACTTCTTGAACGTAACAAAAATAAATACACGCTATTACATGTATGTACCTATGCGTACTTACACATACATTTACATAACATAAAATATAATATTGTGATGCAGCATGAACCCATAAGAAAAGATGTTAGATTATCACACAACGCCATTACACGGCACTTGAACAGTGAATTAATCGTCCATCTCTTTCTCTCCAGCAGCAACAGCAGCAACAGCTGCAGCCGGTGCAGCCGGTGCAGTCGGCCCCTGCGGCCACACAGGGTTCAGGCAGCGCGCCGCCGCCGCCCCCGCCGCCGCCCGGCGCCACCGCGTCGCCTCCCCCTCCTCCCCCGCCGCCCGCGCCTCCCGCGCCCCCTGCCGACCCCGGCGGCTTCGCGGCGCAGCTGCAGCAGGCCCGACTCAAGCGCCAGGCTAAGGTACGTGCCTCCACTTTATCATCATCACGATGAACATGCCACGATTACGCAGCAACTCTTAAGGTGTCGAAAATTTGATGGTTTTTCTATTTAACATATTTTTTCAAGTTTTATAGATAACAAACCCAAAGTTTGGTATATGATTTTTGACTATATAACCTTGGATTGCATAAAAGGAAAACACGATATCATGGAATTTTCTCTATAGAAAAAAATTGCAAAGTTGGCTCTAATTATTTACATTTCTCGATGACACTACAATAATCTTACAAATAATTTCATGGAATTATTTTTAAAGCATAGTAAATAATCATATCTAAGTTTTCGTAAACCAGTTTTTTTAATCCATAACGAAGTTCTGTGAAAATAAATAAAAATGTTGTTTAGCGCGTACTTAGATTTTTTCCGAGCGCTTGCTCGGTATGGCTATCTCATAATTTGCGTACTATGAAGTCATTGCATCACTTTCATTTTGACACTCCCTCAGTCGTCCGTGAGCTTCACAGACAAAGGAATAAGCCACGCCCCCAAAACTTTTTTATTTATTTTTCAAGGTATCCTCTTAAGTGATTTGTGCCTTTCTCTAGTTTGTCTCTCAGAGGTTTTCGTGGTTTCAATATTTTAAGCGTCAACTACCCGCCCCTCCGGCGCCCGCGCTTTTCACTTCTGTAACACAGCTTTTCTTCTAAATTACCGTTCAAGAAACATACATAGAAGTCTTTGGTATTTTAGTTCTACTGACATTTACATGTAGATTATAAACGTTAAACCAAAGCACTAATTTCGATGTGCATTATTCACATCGTCATATTTAATCAATTGTCGTGTATTTTTTTTATGATGGAGTATCATCACCATATGATTTTATTTTAATTTCCTACAATATAAGGTTATTTATTAAATTAATTATGAATAGGATATTATTTAGACTAGGAATAGAAATGGCCCGAGAGTTGAGCCCTGAGGAGCACCCATTAATACAGATGATCCGGAAGAATTATTACCATTGATAATTTTTTTTACGTTTTTTTTATTCTTGTTTTATTTAGGGATTTTTTTACGTTGTACGAGATTACTTACGTATGAAATTATGAGCTGCCTGGTTAATGTCTCATGCTGAACACAGTCGAAGGTTTCGGAAACAACATAAAGTATACTTGCACTGCTGTTACAGTCTTAATACGGTAAAGCAAAACAATATGCAGGCTCTGTGGCATTCTACCTTAGTCCTATAAGGTTGGTTGCAGCTGTCCATGGACTGTAGTAGCCCCTGATTGGTGAACTTTTAAAAAAAAATGGTGCGTGTTAGGTTGTGCTTGAAGTTAAGTCACCTAGTGTCTATTTTACGTAACATTGTCATCTTGAGAGTCTTGTCAAAAAAGTTTAATAAAAGATCTTTGGAGTGAAATAGATGGCGCTATTACTTTTTTTTTATAGGATGGGATGACGAACGAGCACACAGTCCACCTGATGGTAAGTGGTTGCTGTGGCCCATAGACATCTACGTTTATCCTCGATTACGAATCAAAATGCGGATGCGTTGTCATCCGTGAGGACTAAGATGAAATGTCTCGTTTTCAGTAAAAAGGGTTTCCGGTTCTGTACACTCACCATACGAAACACAGCAGCATTAAGCTACTATTTCATGCTGATATTCTGTGAGAGCCTAGTCCTTCCCCGGTTGTGCCGACCTATTCGTGCTACAACTATACTACTAATATTACTGCAGCATGTTCCGCGGAAGGGCAACATAACGACTTCACTTTTTGTTAACATGGGATTTCACTTCTTACCTTATTTGTGTACCGCTGGGTATATATGAAAATCGCTTCTTGAGCCTAAAAGAAACCGGAACGACCTTGACGGAAATAAGATTGTAGATTCTTAGACATTATAGAGTGACGGAGCGTTCGCTGGGATGTATCATTTAAGAATACTGTTATAATTAACTTAAATATTCAAAAATATATGCATTTGACCCGCTCTTAGTGTCAACTGGATAGTATTGAGAGTGTGTTTGTATTGCAGCAAGCGAGCGCGATCGCGAACTCGGAAGCGGCGTCACCCCCAGGGGGTGCGAGTACAGGGGGTGCGGGTGCGGGTGCAGGGGGTGCGGAGGGTGGCGTGCGGGCGGCCGGCACGCTGCACTGCATGATGCACGAGATGGCGCGCACGCTGGCCCGCCGCCGCGCGCACCTCGATCGCGCTGAGGTAACAACTGATACCTTATGCACATACAGACAAGATTCAATGTCATTTGCAAGCGCGCACACAATTTAGATTCAATGTCATTTGCGGATGCACAGTTTAGGTTAAATATCGCGTGTCTTTGACTATAATAATGCACTCCAGACATCATTTCTAAGAAGACTAGCCTGCGCAGCACGAGATTATAGTGTAAGAGTAATTACGTAGGCATAGATGCCATGTTTACTCCCTCACTCTCATAGTCCGATGGGATGGTAAACCGATACAAGCCGAGAGAAGTCAGTGCAAATCAACGACTTTACGTACTTTTGGTGAATCATCATCAACCACCGGACACCGGACTGCTTGTGAGAGTTTCTTGATTGAAAAACCTCATAGCTGATTATGAGCCGACCCGGGACTTCAAAATCAGTAATCGCCTCTACACTCACTTACACTTTATTGCTATTGGAATAGGGTTCAATGTTATCTGTTTTTAAAAAAATCTGTTTCCGATTCATTCAGAATATGCACGGAGAACTGTATAGTTGTGGCTACAAATTTCTAAACATTTTAAAATAACAAACATTGAATTTATCGTGTAGTAGGTGTGAGAAAGAGACGGAAGAAACCTGTGACAGAAGATAGGCACCATCGTGTTCGTAATATTAATTAAAAAAAATAAAAGCTGCCACTGCCAACCCAATGCCTACCAAGCGCAATAACTATGGCGAATATCCCTGTAGTATGCCTCTATGTTTAACAGTGGATTTTTGATAGGATGGAACGGTAACAATATGGGTGAATGTTTAAAATGCGGATCCAAGCGTAATCTTCACTGTAAATATCCTATCTATTTTTTGTTTTTGAAATATTATTTAGTAGGTTAAATATTATCATTACAGCCCGTACAAGTCCACTGTTGAATGTAGCCCCCAGAGGATTTTTTTAAATAGAATAAGGGTGACAAACACATAGTCGACCTGACGACAGCAAGTGTAAGCTTACTAAGGAGTAAGGAGTACTTTTTAGTAGTAGAGTATTTTTTACTGGATACTTGGCATTCCATCTTATTCCTCAGGGGTGACGGCCTATCTGCATTTTGATTCTTAATCGAGCTCCCACTTACACATATATTTTACTTATTTCCTTCATTAGAATTATTTTTCGGTGTTAATTTTATTCTGTAGATATATATTACTAAGTAGGTATTTATTGTTCTTATTTCTTTTTCTTGTGTGTGCATCGACTTCAAACGGATGAATAGGTTTATAGCCCCTATAATATTAATTTATTTAAATTAATAGGTAACATGTTTAGAAACGAATAGTAATTGTGTAAATAAATAATCATAATTTGTAGATAAATAGTTTTATTGATAAACTAATAGGTATTTTGTAAAGGTATTTTAAAGAAATAATATTTTGAATAGTTATAAGTAGGTAGTTTTCATAAGTCAAGTTTTTAGTTTATTTAGTTATTGTAAAAATTTTATATGTAGATAAATACGTTATTATAAACGAAATTAAACATCCAATAAAAGAGTCTAGTGCGCATTTTTCTTCTTTGAATTAAATATATTACCAAGTTTATTTTACACTTTTAGTGCAGTCTTTTTTTGTTTTGAAGAAAGTTCATTTATTAATTGTAAAATTACATGAAAAACAGTTTTTAATTTTTCTTAATAATTTATAGTAAACTTTCAAAAAATGTTAAAACATTTAACTCCTCTATTGATTATAAATGTAGATGTCTATAAGCCGCAGAACCCACTAACCATAAGATGGACTTTGTGCTCGTTTATCATCCTTATTCTATATAAAAAATCGAATTAACTATTATTGGAGGTTTTGACGTGAACTTGACCGTGGGTGGATTGCTGCTTCTGTTTCATCGTTTGAATAACGGTTTGAAGTGGCTATAGATACGTGAATGTGATCCGATTTTGTCGCTTATTCCGTTTATCTACCTTAATAAATCCACCCTAGGGTGGATATTCGGAAACACGTGTTCGTTTATCTACTCTAGACGTGGTGGATAATCGGAATTCACTATAAACAAAAATATATTCATACATTATCATATTATTGATTAATTATTAATAACCACAAACTTAAAACAAAAATCATATTACGTATCGCATTTAAACCAAATTAAACTACCTTGTTTTAAATAACAATAAATAATTTATAAATTCTGCAATATGTCCAGCAAATGACCAACACTAATTTCATTATTGGGTAGCCGTAATTGTAAATCCTGTATAAATTCGTCTCTCAATAAAGGACATTTTAAAATTTGTTAAGTACCGTACTATTTGTATTTATAAATATGCTAATGTCTACCAAGTAATCTTGGACCAGTTTTTATCATGTTTTTATAAACGACTGTACACAGCCGAGAGGGAAAGTCGGAAGAAAAATACAATACGAATTCCGATTATCCACCCCGTCTGGGGTGGATACTCGCGATTTCGAGTATCCACCCTGGGGCGGATTTCTTAGGGTGGATCAACGAAATAAACCGATTTTGTTTTTTAAATATCAGCTCCTATACTTATATTAGCCTCAAGTTGTTTTGTCTCCTTTGGAACCATGAGATACAATCGTCATCGAATCTCTGCTGCCACAAGGTTCCGTCAAAATCTACCAGAATCTTCGCAATGTGAAATATATTATTGTAAAGGATAATTTGTTGTTACTTGACACTGGCGAAGATACAACAGTGCGAATTCTTAAACAAAAAAAAAAAAACAAAAATTTTATTATTATTTTTAAATATAACACCAAAAGTTTCTCTTGCAGGAGTCATCCGCCGACAATTCAGCAAACTCCACACCGCTGAAGACGTGGGAGAGATCCGCGACGTTACCGCATCGACTGCCCGCCGCATGTAATGGCAACACTCGTGAGTGGCTTCGCTTTTCGTTTATTTTCGCTACGCTGCTTGTGACCGTATGCACAGAAACAGATAGAGAGAGAGAGAGAGAGAGAGAGAGAGAGGGAGGGAGGGAGAATAATGAATTATTATCAAAATTTTTTGTATAATTTATAACAGTGGCACAGTAACTCCACAGTCCACCTGGAGGGTAGTGACCACTACAGGCGGTAGACACCTGTAACCATTACCAAATAAAGATGGCTAAGGGTTTGTTTAACCTGTAACCATTACCAAAAAAGATGACTAAGGGCTTGTTTAACCTGTAACCATTACCACTTAAAGTTGGCAATGGGTTTAAAGCAAGGCAAGTGCCTTAGAGATAGACTTAAGTGGAACGCCAAGAGCTTTTGATAATAATTAGTCCACAATGGTAACAAATTTGACGGTTTCATAATAACCAATGTCCCGATTGCAGAAGTTATTACGTGAAATTTATTTTACTTTTTAGTTCTTAGAATTCGGTTTTTACTTTTTTATTAAAATGTTTAATTTTGTTTTATAAATTTATCTCTACCTATCTCTTTCTCCCTATCGCTCATCCCCATATGTCATCTCTCTCTCTTACTCTCTTCCCTTTCTATGCAACACAAAAACTAAAAAAATATTAACTAAAGATTTTAACATTACAAAAAGTCCTCTGGTCTTCAACACAGGCTTAATACGAAGACAGATTATTAACTATTTTAGAAATATGGCAATAATTTCGGAGGAAGCTTATTTTGTTACGTTTATGTCATTGTTGTCGTATACCATATAGAATTAAATGTTGCTTGCTTGCTGTCATGAAGATCGATGTAAGTGTATGCTGAATAGAATTGTATACGTCAAAAACTGTTATCATCATGATGACATCTTGGCTAGCGATTTTTAACTGCTTGCTTAAAAATTTATACTAAAGAGAGAGAAAAACTATATCCTACGTACATCCACAACTGCAGTGAAAATGCCAAAGAAATATACATACATACAAACATACTACTCGTGCGTAACGCCATGAGACATGAGTCCGATGACGTCACACCGGCAGTATTGTTAACTATTTGTACAGTGTTTCAAAAGTTAAGAATGCTGCTTCTATAGTGAAAATTCAGGAAGCTGATGATATCAAAATCGGGGATGTGAACTATTAGTAGTTTAATCTAGTCTTTTCATTTCGGGACGTAATATAATTCACCTGATTTGAACTCACCATACTTCGTATTGATCAAACGTATGTTTTGACGCAGAAACTTATATTTTTGTTTTCGCACTAGTAGTTTATCTTACACGATTCTTATACAAACTTCTTATACAATTAGTACTATTTTCAACCGATTTCAAAAAGAAGGAGGTATTCAATTCGACTGTATATTTTTATGTGTGTTATACCTCAGAACTTTTTCAGGGTGAACCGATTTTGATGATTCTTTTTTTTATCTGAAAGCTGATGCTTCTCTTGTAATCGGTCCCATATAAATTTGATCAAGATCTGACAAAAAGTTTTTAAGTTATCCTTAAATGATACTTATTTAATTAAAAATTGAATACATTGGTGATGTGCTCATTTTATTTATATTAAAGTCGATTGTACATTTTTTTTATTTTACCACTTGTATACGTTGTATTATGGTTGTAGCACGAATGGGTTGGCTCGATCGGGGTAGGACCACGTTCTTACATAATACTGTGAATGAGTGTATGAGAACTGGAGACCATTTTTACTTGAAACGGCCCTTTTTGTTGAACATTACCACTAAAACACCTACCATTAAAAAACCTATTACTACATGTTCGAATACATTTTGATTTACGTAACACAGTTTCTATGACGTCAGTTAAAATATTTTGATAATCCGGCTCGAGGGACCAGTTTCTATGTTTACTGTAGTTTAAAATGTATATTAACTCGCTGGCTAGGCAAATAATTAGAACGAGAAAAGAATGAATAAAATACGTCTTGCTTGATCCAACAATGAATTTAATTGCGTAACTAGGCGCAGATACAAGAAAACAGTGGATATTAAAAATAATTACACATATAAAACATATAATAATATAAACATATATAATAAGTAATATGTTTCCTTTAAAATAATAATGTCTTATCTAAGTAGACAACATAACTTTCCCAGTTGTCTCATACATGTTAAACAGCGGAGAGATTTTGAAATCTGGTGAGAATCATTATGATTTCATTGTGTCTTCTTATGCAAATTGATGGCTTTTTGTCTTTTTTTTTTTTTTGAATGGCTCACCGTTGGCTTTAGGCCCATGTCGTGTTTTGATTATCAAATATTAAGACGTTTTTCAAATTAATGTATCCCAAAATAAGATATTATTTTATAGTGTCTTGGTTTAGATTACAAATGATCTTCATATTGAATAAAAAAGCAGTGTTCGGCTTCAGATAGCCTTTCCCACCGGAGTTACACTATCGCGCTACAGACCCGACGGTAGTTCAAATTAAGACCGATTTACACTTCGACAAGTACAGTAGCGAGTTTAGTTACAGGGCAGTTGACAGTAAACTGTTAAGTGTTCCAGGATTACGTCAAGAATTAAATGATCCAGTCAGAGAAGTATTAATGGTTGTTGTTAAAGAAGTTTTTGAGAATTTTTATGAGTGCAGCAATTTGAACTTCTACTATTATATAAACAATCGTGTTCTAAATACTCCTGTACAAATTTATACGTGATATCTTCCGTCCATTTTTATTATTAAAACCCAATATAAAACGTATAAATATTCAATAAACGGTATCGTATAAACTTTGTGGCGAGTTTAATTATAAAAGTACAATTGTACGTTTTGGTGCGAACATATTGTGTCCTGTCTTATGCACTGAACTAAACTCGCTCGTTTACACTAAAGTTGTTCAAAACAGTGGCGAAGCGAGGCGAATATGGTTTTGTTGTTTTTAGCAGTTTAATAAAAATACACCAATCTTGAGCTGTCTCCACTCTTTAGTTTCATATTCAGTGCTGACAAGGACGTGTTTAACAAAGCACACAGAAAGCATACTACCGCTAGATAGATTGTATGACATAATATGCAATTGCACACCTTCGGTGGTTTTGAAAAGAGCCGTTTGGGTTTGCTTGAGATATTTACAAACAACACAATACATAAACAAAAGAAAAGCATGAACAAAGTACAAACAAACTATGTACAAAGTTAAAAAAGGGACGCCTGGCAGATGTATGTATGTCACACTTATATTCATCACAATGAACACTATTCAGTGAAAAGGGAGGATCCCTTTTCACTGAAAATCTTTAAAAAAGCATAAATTTTAAACTCGCTATACATTCGCTCAAGCTCCACACACAATGCACAAAGTAGAAGTACTTTTTGACACAATGTAAACACTAAACATTGAAATGTGACACGGACTTGCTAACATATCGTCGGCTCGTCGGCGTCGGCCGCGCGCCTCCTTTCTCGACTAACTTTATACCTAACGTGACCATACGTCCCACTTTAGGCGGGACTTTCCCGATTTAAATGCTTGTGTCGCGCTATCCCCAAAATATGTAAAAATCCGCTTTGACAAAAAAACGTGACAATCACGCAAACCCTGTCACCCGTGCCATCATTATGACACCGCGCGTACCAGGTTTGCATAGCTTGTCTAGTTACATGATTATTCTGAAAAGCTACACTTTTGAATTTAAAATTACGAAGTGAAAATTTTTAATTAATCTACAATAAATTATCAAATAACATAAGATATTTCCAATTAGTATTTATTTGATGTTTAGAATTCACTTTTGATCATTCAAAGACTCAAACAACTTTGTGTTTTATTTATAAAACTATAATAAAGGGTTCCAGATTGATTTTTAATAATGGCGTAAGTATAATACTAACATATACAATAAGTGTAATACTACTGCTACTGAGAATTTTGTGACGGAAAAACCCAATAAATGATTCATGACCCGAGTCAGGTTTCGAACTTGGGACCACATGATCAGCAATTGCGTTTACTGCCATTAGACCGAGAAGGCAGTCAAAAGTGTTAGAGCTATAATAATTTTAAAGGCGTCCCGCTCTGAGGAAAAAATTAATGGTCACTAAAAAGCCGGGCTTTTTAGCTCCATACTAATTGCTATTTATACAATCGTAGTTATATTTCATTATAGAACATTTTGCCACAGGTTAGAAAGGGAGTGATCGCCTTCTCGAAAGCCCGGTAAAACGCCCACGCTCAAGAAAACCAATCGCTCAATTCAACTCTCCTTATATGTATGACAGCAGTATTCGTAAGGCTACGAGGTCTCACAGAGTGCGCGGGAAATTTGAAATAGTTTGAAACAGTTTACGAGTTATTTTATTACTTAATATAATTGATTGATTCGTCTTAATGAGGCAAGCCGGGCTTTTGGGCTTGTATAGAAGCTTCGCCACTGGTTCAAAACGACTATAAATCAATAGCACGCTACAGACTATAAACAAGAAATTTCTAGCGCGCTATTGAATACGCTATGTTATAGCGCGCTATTTATAAAAAAAGTGTGTAGGAGGCCGGCAAGCGCGTTAAGTTTTGCAGCACGCTATATCTCGGAGCACGCTACATGTTGTTCAGTGGATAGACCGCGTGCTATATAAAAACATTGTTTCGTAATAAGTCGTATTTTAGATTAAAATAAAATAAAGTGGTAAAGAAAAATTAATGAACGCTCTTTCATACTTTTCAGTCTTACGACTTTCTAACTTTCTATAATCCTAAAAATATTTTTAAGGCGTGTACTTTTTAAAACAAAATAAAATTAATCATTTTTTTATTATAATTGATGTAAACGTTATTTTAACCTTAATATAAATTATAAATCAATTAAAGGTGTATTTAAAAGTTTATTGATTGTATTTATAAAAATCAACTATTTACAAACACTATTATAATTATACACTTTTGTATCTATATTTTATTTAAATTTAAAAACATTAGTTAGGCTTCTTTTGTAGCAGACAACTGTGTCCTTCGATCACTTATAAATATACAGTATACACTAACTAAATAACGTCTAACACTAAATTAGTTCGTGCGCGATGAATAGCGTGCTGCTAGATTAAATTTGCGTCACACGTCCTCTCCCAACAGCGATGCTGCTAGAACTAATTGCCGCTTGATATGAATAGCGCCAAAGCGTCATAGCGTCATAGCGCCATGGTGACTACTTACATAGCACGCGCTATGCGTTATGAAGAGATAGCGCGCTATAATATGGCGCTATGCGCTATATTAACCACCATTAGTTTACACGAACGGCGAGTTTAGTTGCGGGTGGCGGGAGACGCGCAGGAGGGCAGGACTTCGCACTTAACTCGCCGAAAAATAACTCGGCCGGCTATCCCGTTCAACTTAATCGTTAACTTGCCACTTAACTCGCTTATTGTCGTTCAAACGAAGTTCAAACTTAACTCGCCAGGTTCTCAAGTTTAGTTTTAACTCGCTACTGTACTTGTCGAAGTGTAAATCGGTCCTTAGAGTAAGTTCTTTACCGTGTAGTAAGTAGCAGTTTAAAAGAGTTCACTGCTGCATATCGTCCCGTGAATGTCGTAAGAGGCGACAGAGGGAAACTTTCAGCAGGAGATGGGCTGCAACATGTTCTGATAACAACTCTAAACAATAAAAAATGCGATTCACAATTTATAGGCTGTAATTGATTGTTATAGTATTGAAAAGGAATCGTATTTATAAGACGCCTTGTGCAAAAACAAGTCTTTATATCAGATGTAAAATAACTGACATTATTTTTCTATTTAAATTTCTAAATTCGTCGATTGATTCGGTCACCTTCATTAGCACTGTTTATTTTTATTCCTCGTCATCTCATTTAATTTACATGAAATTATGGTTGTGTTATATACCTACTGTTTATATTGTATTAATGATAATTTAAGTTTTTAATTACTTTTGCTGACGAAATATGTAAATATTAAAGTTATTTAACTACCTGTCATTTAAACATATTTCTGCAAATAAATGCTATATCATTCTTCCACACATTCATTCCTCTTCGGTCCTCCCTTGCATAAGCCAAAGGTGGCAATTATGGCAAATGTTCCCTCAACATGGGTGTATATTCAGTTGTAGAATTTTGAGTGTTTTTTTTTTTAATAATCTAGTGCTAATGGTAACATCGTTTTGATTTTTAGCCAATTCGGAGTCAGTTCAACAACCGCCACAGTCGCCACGTTCAGTTCGGAAACGGTTCGGCTCAGCCAGCGAGGAGACCATACTCAAGGTAGGATTTTATTATAAAAAAAATTACACCCAAGTTATTGTTACTGTGTCTTGGAGTCGTTTTGAAAACGAAAAATAATATTCGCTTTATTCAGAAATAAAAGAAATATAGTTAGAGAACAATTCTACCCTTACCTTGTGTCTGTGAGCATAGAGGTGATTTTAGTTTAGTAGACATACGACTGTATACGTAAAAGCTGTTGTCTAACCGGAGGCTGCTATTGCTCAGCTGACAAAACCGAGAGTGTGGTCAATTTTTTACGTGGTATAACTACGCTGCAGCTATATTATAGTTGTAGCACTAATGGGTCGGCACGACCGGGAAAGGACCACTCTCTCACAGAACACTAGCGTAAAATAGTAGCGTAATGCTGCTGTGTTTCGTATGGTGACCTTTTTTACTGGAATCGACGCATTCCATCTTAGACTCAGGGGTGACAACGCGTTTGCATTTTGATTATTAATTGAGGATAAATGTGAAGTCTGTAGGGCACAGCATCCACTTACCATCAGGTGGACTGTGTGCTCGTTTATTACCCAATGCTATATTTAAAAAAATCAGCTTCAAATTGCAATTAACAATTTCGTTGGTGTCTGTGCGAGCATGTCCTGTTCACTCGCATTTTAATATAAACAAATGACATTGTAGATAATGGTCTATGAAGCAACACTTGTGAAACCTTTACAATAAATACTAGGTTTTAAAAAAAATTGCATTACAATTATTACAATAGAACGGACTTCTTCTTATTTTTTGGTTTAATTTAAGGTTTTTATAGGCGAAGGTATTGTAGATCATACAGCCAAGTCTTTTGGTAGCGTACTTAATAAGAGTGTGACAAGCGTTAAAAAACTCAGTATTCTCAGCGCTCGATCTATGAATAAGGTTTTTTTGTTACAAATAGAATAAAGCGATTGAAAGCGCTGCGTGAAACGAGCAACATCGACACTGACGGTCGATGAATTGACACATAACAACATTTGGCATTTGATAGTAATGCCACTGCCACATTTGCATTTTCTTAGTATTCTAGTTTTTAGTTTTGTAACGCTTGTTTATATTCTCTTATTAAGCGCGCTGTCATAAAGACTTGGCTGTATGAGCTAAAACACCTTCGCCTATAAAAACCCTTAAATTAAACCAAAAATAATAACACCGGGGAATAAAACGAAACTGAAATTACAAAAAAAAAGAAGAAAGTGAAAAAATTACTTATTAAAATGTTTTCGAAATTGTGTAGTGTCCCTTCTATTGAAATAATTGTAACGTGAATTATAAAAAAAAATAGTAATTATTGTAAAGGTTTCATTCGTGTTGATTCATAAGTCATTTTTTACAGTGTGTTTCTATAGACCTAATTATAACCTCAAAATCTGAAAGTGTTTAGAATTCTTAGAAGTGTCCGTAGTTTTAATTTAGTTTAAATCGAATTTATATATATATACAGGTTGTCCCAGAACTCAACGTCAAGCCGAAACAGGGTGACAGGAATGATTGTTACGATCATGAGAAAAATCAGAAAAAAAAATCTATCCCATGCAGTACCGGAAATTATGGGCATTTAAGAAAAATCTAGAATTTTGGTGAAACTGTAACCATTTTTCGGTTTTTGTGGTTAATTTTCATTATTTTTGTTCATTTAAACTTTGGAACCGTAACCCTAAATAACATTTCTAGAACAACAGTCAAAAATAATGACACAACTGCCCCAAGTTTTCTAGAATTAAGACTATTTGTTAAACTATGAATTTAAAATTTTTTACATTTGTCGACTTTGAAAGGTCCTCCTTTAAAAAAATATACTAAAGTGTGTTGGCAAGTGCCATTAAAAGTTTGCGCATTTAACCAGCATTGTAAAATGGTATAATACTTGTTAGTTTCATACTAAAAAAAAACTAGTTAAAAAATAAAAACATCGAGTAACCCGATTTTTGCTAACCCATTTTACTCAGTTCAAATGTTTTTTATTCACACAAGCTCTTTGTAGGTTCTTAATTTTACGGAAAAATGATGAGAAAGATGGATAATAGACATGATTGCCGTGAGTGACCGAGACAGATAGTGACGCCACGCAATGAGATATTGGGTGCGTTTGGCAGAAAAAAGCGCTAGCAAGCGCTTGTAAGCAAAATGGCGATAGTAAGCGGTAAGCGCTGTCAAATCGTAAGTACCTATTTTCCTCCAGGACACGATGTTAGTTTTAACCGTGGAATCTAACCTAATTTAAATATATGTTTGTAAAGTATTCATATTAAAAACTTACCAATCATGAATTTTTAATAATATGTATATGGCTATTCATGTCATTATATTACTTAAAACTAATATTGCAAAAAACATCTTATAAACTCTACTTCAAAACAAACAAATTAAATAAGCAAAATGGCGGATTGTGTCAGCGCTACTGAAGTAGCAATCGTGTCCTGGCCGAAAACTATTTTAGCGCTAGTAAGCGCTTGCTAGCGCTTTTTTCTGCCAAACGCACCTATTGTGTTGATTTAGTACTAACAACTTGGCTTCTCTTTTTGGACTTAGATTATTGTGAATTGGACTTGTTGATTACATACCGGGCAACTTTGGCTTCTCTCTTTTGGAATTGCACTTTTGTGTTGGCATCCTTGTTATCTACCATGCCTGCGCGCTACACTTCACAAGAATATGCCAACATGCACCTCATTTATGGGGAATGCAGATGCAACGCAAGTGCCGCCGCTAGACTTTATCGTGAAAGATATCCAACTTTAGAGCGCTATCCGGATCACCCGTGTTTGTTAATGTGCACCGTTCACTTACGGAGGGCGGCCATTTCCCGAATCAAATAAGGGCTGGAGGTAGAGCTCGCTTTCCTTACGAGGAAGAAGTGTTGCAAGAGGTCGCAGATGATCCAAGTATTTCCGTTCGTGGAATTGAAGAAAGAACGGGAATACCCAAAAGCACATCACATCGTATTTTACAAAGAGCCGACATGCATCCGTTTCACGTACAACGCGTTCAAAGTCTTCTTCCTCGAGATTATCCTGAAAGGATTTCATTTTGTAGAACAATGCTACAGAGGCATAACGAAAATCCCCAATTCATCCAAAAAATTCTCTGGTCAGATGAATCTACATTTAAAAAAAGATGGTTACATAAACTTACACAATTTTCACGAGTGGCATGTGGCGAATCCACATTTAATGCGAGAAGACAGATCCCAGTATCGCTTTAAAGTAAACCTGTGGACCGGAATTTTAAACGGCAAAATTGTTGGGGCTTTTGAGCTGCCTGAGAACTTTAATGGCACGAATTACTTACATTTTTTACGAGAAAATTTACCAACTTTGTTAGAGGACGTACCACTAGCAGATCGTCGCCACATGTGGTATCAACAAGATGGCTGCCCAGCGCATTACGCGGTGCAGGTAAGAGATTTTCTTGACCAGGAATATCCGGGAAGGTGGATTGGACGTTCAGGCACTATCTCGTGGCCAGCCAGTTCCCCAGATTTAAATCCCTTGGATTTTTTATTGGGGCGTTCTCAAAGAAAAAGTTTATTCAAAGCCCATTGACAGGGTAGCCGAGCTGCGTGAACGAATTTCTCAAGCTGCTGAGGACATCAACTCTCGAGGATATGCCCGACTAATAACTAGATCTTTTTTAAGAAGATGTAGGGCGTGTATTGAGGCTGATGGTAAACCATTTGAACACTTATTGTAATAAAAAAATGTTATTTCCCTATCTGACTTTTATTCTAATAAACCTAAACTAAACTAGGTCAAGATTTTTCATTATTTTGTTAATTTTACTTACTTTTGTTGACTTTTGTAAAATTGGCGTCACTATCTGTCTTGCTCGCTTATGGCAAACATCTCCACATTCCATCTCTCAAATCAATAAAAACATTTGAACTAAGTAAAATGGGTTACCAAAAATCGGGTTACTGGAGGTTTTTATTTATTTACTTGTTTTTTTTTTAGAATAAAACCAACGAGTATTGTACCATTTTACAATCCTAATCCTGATCCTGACTTTAGTACATTTTTTTTAAAGGAGGACCTTTGAAAGTCGACAAATGTTGAAAATTTTAAATTCATAGTTTAGCAAACAGTCTTAATTCTAGAAAACTTGGGGCAGTTGTGTCATTATTTTTGACTGTTGTTCTAGAAATGTTATTTAGGGTTACGGTTCCAAAGTTTAAACGAACCAAAATAATGAAAATTAACCACAAAAACCGAAAAATGGTTACAGTTTCACCAAAATTCTAGATTTTTCTTAAATGCCCGTAATTTCCGAACTGCATGGGATAGATTTTTTTTCTGATTTTTCAAACAGTCACCCTGTTTCGGCTTGACGTTGAGTTCTAGGACAACCTATATATATATATATATTGTTTAAAACACAAAAAGTGAATTCAATGTCATTTATTGATTATGAAGCGACAGTAGCCTAATGGCAGGGCGCAGACCACGAAATCAAAAAGGTCGTGAGTTCGAATCCGCCATTCGACTACTGGCGTGAACCTTTCGTAACATAAGCAATTTAAGCTTACCACGAGTGGTTAAGGGGAATATTAGTAATGTTTATAACATTGTTAATAGTTATAATATTAAAAAAAATTAAAGTCTACCTGATGGTTAGTGGCTACAGCAGCCCATGGATACCTGCAGTCAGCTTCGAACAAACACCTCTGAGGACTAAGATGAAATGTCTCACGGACTGTTATTTGTATTGGTGTTCTATATCCTTCAGATCGGAACACAGAAGTGTAAGCACTGCCATTTGCAGCAGAAGTAGTGAGAGGGTAGCATCAAGCCAGACGAACTCATGGGTATAAAAGTAGTCTTACCATTTCGCGTGCTATGAAGTTTAAACGAGCATTTATTTTTTGAACTAATACCAAAATAACTATTGTGCAATTTCCAATGCCACTACCATCATATGAAATTAACTTAGTTCCATCATTGCATGTTTGTCTGTCTGCTTGCCCGCAGCAAGTGAACGGCGGCGAGGGAGGCTGCGTCACTGCGGCGGAGTGGGACGCGTTTAAGCAGGAGATGCTGCGGGAGATGAGGCAGCAGCTGAATCAGATCAAGAAGGAGATCTTAGATGGTCGGTATTCATTTTCATAGACATTACAATTTACTCTTACCGTCGCACAAAACCTTAAGTATTTATGTTTTCTTTATATAGAATGAGGATGACAAACGAGTACACCATTCACCTGATGGTTAATAGTTGTTGGCTCATAGACATCTACATCTACCCTCAATTAAGAATCAAAATGTAGATGCGTTGTCACTCCCTGAGGACTAAGATGGATGGCCTTGTTTTCAGTAAAAGGAGTATCCGGTTCTCTACACCTAACCTAAGGTCATCGTTATCAAGTCCACTGCTGGTAGTGTTCGACCGAAGGTCGATTTCTAGCCGAAGCTGAAGCCGATTTATCGGCTATCGCCACAATATTTTTGGCTGGACACGGGACTTTTATTGAAACGGGGGTGTTTGAAATTATTTCGTTTGAACTATCGTAAATTGTTTTGTGTTATTTTAAAATAAAGGGCCTTACTCTATAAAATTTGTCGTAAATGAGATGGCCAAAATGTGCCCCAAGCCTTACAAAAATAAGACTATTGCTATTAATTTAAATAAAATAAAAAAAGAATTTTGAATAACTAGTAATACTTCATAGCAGCTGTCGAAAAATAATCAAGTTTAAAAGTATTTAATGTGATTTCTTCTCTTTGACGTCACTCTAGCACCTGTAATGTGGCCATATAATACTTAAAAAGATCAGAGTAAGGAAAAAACAATAGCTAACTCATAAAAATACTTTATTTTTGATATGTTATGTATAAAAACAAATCTTCAATTAATTAATCAATACATCAAAATAATTAAAATACACTAAAAGATAGGGTTTTATTTATTTGTTATAATAGCAACAGCTTAAACATGTTACATTATAGGATAGGGTTATTTTACTTAAATACTTGCAACACTGAATCCGTCCGTCAAGTATCAAAACAGTCAAAGTGTCACTCGGTATATGACAAATATGTACGCCTTTCCTTCGTATTTGTGTTTTATCATAATTTACTTTTATTTAATAGGTGCCGTATCCCCACGCGAGTTCTCCACTAATTATAAACGGTGTAGTACATAAGAGGATATAGTAAGTCAGCTCAAATTCTAATTTCGCCCCCACTTCCTCGCGCATCGTATGCTATGTACCGACATGTTTGTAATCACTAATACTGTAAGTAGAAAGGTTGTTAGACACTTATTTCATTAGGTTTATCATATTTATGCCTGTTTCTTAACGCCAAGCCAGTCGCTTCTTATTTTTATTACGGTTATTTCCCATTTTAATTTTACGTCGTCCTGTTGCGTAATGTGTATTCTGATCGTAAGCGACAAAGGCCGAAGTGAAACTGACCGGGCGGCAGGAATCACGCTTCAAGAGGCCGATAGTTTAGGTAATTTCTTTTTACAGTGAAAATAATGGTATTTAAAAAAAAAAGTAAATAACATAAGCACTGCTTTATAGTTAGTTCTCTTAGTATGCAAAATTTCATGATCTTATTTAAAGTATTTTATGAATAACAGCGGTTTATTGTTTATTTTGGAGGTAACTTTGGATTTTTTTTCTATCGGGAAAATTTTACGGAATCGTGTTTTCGTCTAACATAATCCTTAACATTAATCCTCAACTTTTCCAATATATTTATTTCAAAATTAATGCTGCAATACCTTTGGCATAACAGAGGATCTTGCTAAGCCATTTGAGGTTATATTTCCCCTTAATTATTTTTTGTCTAATATACTTCGATCAAAAATAGTATTAATATAATTATATTACTTACAAAAAATAGTTACAAATAATTTTAAAGACTGAAAAAAACTGCTGCCCTTGTTTATTTTAGCTAAACCGGTTAGGATACATCCTATTCATCATTCATATAATTAACCTACATAACATTCATGAATTGTAACTTTATTAATATCTACATTGTGTAATTATGATAAAAACCGACTGTCAAAATCAACTTTTTTTTTTAAATTTTCATAACTTTTGTCCACTACTGCTTAGCTACAAGCACTTTTCTAATTATGTATATAGAAGATCTGTACTTCCAAATGACATAGATTTCTTCTCTGTACAGTCTGGGGCACATGTTCATACAATTTTTGGTCATCTCCTTTGAGAAATTCTTAAGGTTGTTCTCTCTTTTCACTAAATGGAATAGAAAGAGACAGATATAGAGATAATTTATATTTAATTTAAGTTACCGATCATCAACGATTGTAACGCCGAAAATATTTAAAGTATTTTTGTTTTGTTGTTGAAGTATTCATGCAATTTTAAATCTTATTCCCGCAGCAATGAAGGCGGAGTTCGCGCGCAGGTAAGGCCGCCTCGCCGCTCCGAGTGAAACTAGTCTGCCAGGCATCGGTGAACATTTATTTTAACATACGCCAATTGTATTTTTGGAAAATATCAAGAAAAATATCGATCACTGCTTCATTTCCAAAAAAAATAATACCTGCCCGTCCTTATCCTTTTAATATTTTTTAAATTACAATATAATGTGTAAATATACACCTGATACAATTTTTAATGATAATTATCCCTGTTTAACTGTCACTTTGACAGCTGTCAATTGTATATACGTTCGGGTTTACTCGCATGTATACACTGAAATAATTAGTTTTTGTCCACTAGGATGTGTAACTATGTGTATTTAACCATAAAGATGCTATGGTTAACGTTGTTTATATAATAACTGCAATAATAATAGCTCTTTTAGTTTGTAACTAATGTTCTAATTTGATCATCTGGATTTATCAAAATGCCTATTGACTGAATCAACCCTAATTTTTAATTAACAAATTATAATGAATATATATCTATAAAAATACTAAATTATGTATTAAAATTGTGAATTAAATGTGTGCGTTCATACGAAATTTATGTTCATCAATGTCTAAACGGTATAATGTGATTAAAACGATGTATTACATACTTAGGTTTGCCAGCGTCGTAAAAAATACAACGACTAATATGGCAACACTAGACGTAATTGTTTGTGTCGTCGTTAGTATCGCGTTGATTGCGATTGAAACAGGTTCGGAAAGCCATTTCTTTCTTGTACAGAGTGTCATTAAACCTTAATTTTATGGTTTATTTTTTGTGATAGGTGACGTTAAATATAGGCTGATTCAAAATACTTTTTTTTACATAAAGACTAACTCTGTTTGGGAAAGAAAAAAATCATGAATCGAGATAACGAAAAGATTAGACTTAGCGCACTAATATCGAAGCATAAACGCAAGTTGTGTTTTTTAATTTTATACTTAAAGATATTTATTCGAATACGTATTATATATACGTAGTGTGTAAGAGTACGGAATTGTGATTGATCTTTTCACTGCATGACTTTAAAAGATATAAAATGACTATGTAAAAAACTAATGGATATATAAAACGTGTGTCTTTTAGTCACGAATATATTATTTTTAATTTAATTCTGTTTTTATTTTCATGTTGTAAAATTTTATTTTGTCTCAAATTGGACATTGTAGTTAAATTATGGTATTTGTTACAATACAAAAGGCAAACAGTGAATTGATACAATCTCGCATACGTTAAACACACCTAGCGTCGAGGTATTTTAAACTAGTATTAATCGATATTTATTGACTATGAGAAAATTGCATCTGGCAACACGGGTAATCACTTTCAACCGTTTTATAATCATACGTTTCAATGTTGAAACTCGTATTGCCGTACGTACGCGAAACTGTAGTATTAGGTGTTCTTTAGATATGATTATTGTATGTATGTTAACGCTATAAAGAGTTCTCGTGTCGGATGGATTTTAAGAAATTTTAATAATGGAACAACCTGTATCTGTAATTCGTAGTCTTCCAACGTACATGACGCTCGAATATTTAATCTTTTTAATCGATTTCATAGAGTTTCATCATATTGTCGTGACTCATCTCCCCGATATAATCTCCCATACTTAAGTAATTAACTAAGAGAAAGTACAAAATACGCCAATCGATTATTATTAAACAAATTTTTAGTTTCCAACTGCTAAAAAGCAATAAGCCAAACTAGTTACTAAGCGCTTAAAGAAATTACTTCACCCGTCACGAGAACTGACAGAAATGTATCACAGTATAACATTTAAGGAGACTTAGAAGTACACGTCGGTAGCCGTACAAACGATTTGTTTGAAAGTACCCAGCTACTAAAATCACATATAGTTTTAAGATGATTTAGCCGACTGATAGATCATTCCAGAAGATCGAACCTTCGATCGGGCCTATAAGGAAACGTTGACACCATTTTGTTTTAAATTTTCGACGATGTTTTTTCTGTTTACATACTTCTTTTGTAACGACAAATCCTCTGTTGAGGTCTAATATAAGACTATGCACGACTATAAAACGAATAGAAACAAAGCTATACAAAGTTTTCACGCAAGTTTTAAAACCATACAAATTCAACAACTTTTCAACTATCAATAGTATTGTTTCGAATATACTTACATATTATTTGTTGCTATCATTAATGTATATTGTTGGTGAAAATATATAAATAAAAGAAATCAAGCACTGTCAGCTGTCCTGCTTTTACGTATCGCTTTGTCACTGTCTGTTGGTCTTGTCGTGCATAGACATTAAGCTGGTGCTTCGCTATTCCATTACACTCAGTACACTGAGAACGCATTTATTGAAAGTTACTGGATGTAACGATAAATTAAAAAAAATGTTTTTTCCATTATATTATAACTACATAAAATACATTTAGTGATATTTATACAACTATGTCATTATAGGATATATTATATAGTATTAAAAGTTGATAAAACTAACCAAATTTTAGTCGGTTGCCCTAACGTTTTATATACAATTTATTTGTATTGGTCTCAGTAATATCAAAGATGTATTTATTATCTGTACGCATAAATTTTTACGTGACTTGGTTTAGAAATTCGTGTTCTAATTTTATTTTGCTAAAAGCTGATTTTGGATGCGCCGTTAAATTATGAGCTTATATTTTCACATAGAGTATGATTAGTTTTTTTTTTGTTAGCTTTCGCGCATTCGCGATAACATCTCTACAATGGGAAAATCGCAACAATTGCATTTTGAAGTCTATTTTTTATTGTTTTTGCTTGCTTAGTGATAGGAGATTTGGATGCATTTATACCTAAACTTCACTTTTTCTGCGTATTACTTTTGTAATTTCTTATACAACATGTAACATAAACTGTGTGGTTCCCGTTAAGTGTGTTATCAGAATCGGCATCCAAGCGTATAGAAATAATTTAAAAAAAAACGCATTTAAAAAATAACTTTAATGAAAAAAAAATTAATTTGCAAATTGTATGTGGTTTTATTTTCTCTAACTCACACGAATATCGGTAATGCGGGGTCTTTGACAATTCTCTTACTCCTCGGCCAATGCAGAGATAATAAAACCATGTACAATTTGCAAATAAATTTTTGTTTTATTAAAATTAATTTTTTAAAATGTGTTTTGAAATATTTTTTTTCTATATGCTTGGATACTGACTCTAATAACGCAGTCAACGGGAACCACAGGGTTTTTGTTACATGTTGTATTTACGCGAATACTACACATTAAATAAAACCAATTTTTCAGATTTTATTTTTGTTTGACCTGATGGATCAGTCTTAAATAATTAAAAATGGAATTAAAAAAGTTAAAATCAAACGCGATAAAATTCGTAAAATTAGTTTTATTCCATATTACTTTAAAAAATATTCTCAGGATCATAAAATTGGCAGGATTAGTTAAATACGCGGCGGCAAGTTTAGGTATAAATTGCCCCCCCCCCCCCAACTACCGATCACTAATTATTATACACGTTAAATGAATAAATCATTTTGAATTTTTTATGCCGAAGCTATAACGCCTGCCGTGCCGCCAGAAATTTTTCGATAAGACCTTTATATACAGCATGTTCGGAAACATTTTGTAGCAATTTTTCTACCATTTGGTATGTTGTGTTTGAGGAACACCGCTCCGTATTTTCGATGCTCGAGTAGGTTACCATGTTGTATTAACGTATCGCAAATTGTCCGTAAGGAAATTCTTTCGTAGTCACTCGTATTATTGTAAATAGAATTTATAACGAATTATATTTTTTTGTGATCACATTATTTTGTTTTTTTTTCTATGCTTTTGTTGTGTGAGCTCCATGATTAATTTTTATTACTACTAGTAACTAGTATATTATGGTATACACATAACCATATAATATCAAAGAATGAATGTAAATTATGTCATATTATTGTAAAAGTATTAACGTTCTGAATTATAGATTATATGTTGTATTGATATCAGTTGAATCAATTTGTTTTTGTTTTTAACGTACTTGTAGATACGTCCACTGATATTTTATATTGAGGCGAGTCAATGATATATACAACCATGGCGACACCACTTAAGAATGAGTTGAAATATTTGATAGATTTTACAGCAGGGAAAGTTATCTTGTTAGAAAAGTATATATTTGAATTAAATTGGAAGTGGATATTTTAAACTTCTTAAATTAGAATGATTAAAAAATTAAGTGTAAAAAAATAAAGAATACAGCACTAATGAGTTTTTATATTTAGATGAGTTTTTCGATTTCTAGTGTATGTACATACAGTAGAAATCGAAAAACTTTTGAAAGATTATTACACCGTGTGACCATCTGTTTAACAAACAAGTCACCTTAGATCCAACTAGCATAAGATTGTTAGAAACAAAGAAAAAATAAAGAAATATTGATGTGTCAAAAACATTAATCAAAAGTCTAAAATATGTAAATTCGCTCAGTCTGTCAACATAGCGAATCGGGTTTGTAGTAGCGATAACTGATAATACGACGTAAGTGCTTGTTTGTATGCTCCCGGCGACTCCGATCCTAGTACAAAATAAGGTTGACAGTCATTCTATTGTGTATTATAGTATTCTATATTGTCGCCATTTAAAATTGATGAAATAGAATAACTACAATATATTGCTTTTTTTCTTCAGTATGGGCCCTGGTATCGTGGTTAGGTCACAATAATTCTGCCAACGTACGGTCTTTGGTCTGTTACATCTTGCTTTGAGGCGCGCACGATAAGAATGGGGCTGTCAAACTGACAATTCGTTTGACAAGCACGCCCTACGCACAGTTTTCAACTCTATAACACAGTTCAAGTGTCAATAGGCTCAGAAGGGCTGGGACCCAGAGCCGTAAAGCCAGTTAATAAATCAAGTATCAATTTAAATTTAAAAAATATGTACTTTTAATAAATAGTTATTTTAATTTCATGTTGTGGCAAAATTTTATTTAAAATAAAAATGAATTGGAGAGATTGATGATCCCTTATTAGGA